GGTTCAAGGTTTGAGGGTTCAGGGACTTGGATTTCAATTTTGGGTTTCAGGTTCGGGGTTTAGGATTCTGTGTGAAGGTGTCATTGGTGCGAGCAGATTATTAAGCACGTGCGAGAACGCCAGAGTTCTCTGTGAAGGCCTTATTGGCGCGAGCTGACATGAGGTTCCCAATGGTGCTTTGGTACGAGGTTCAAGATTCCATTTGAGATCGAGGATTCTTCTTGGATTAGTTCGTTCATGGGCACTATTTCTTCTGTACAAGTTGTTGATCCTATCCACTGGCGTAATTCTCCATGTCGCATTCTCTAGGTATTATCCACCTCTCAACTTTTTCAATCAATTTTCTCTAAAATTTCATCCACTATGGATTCTACATTACAGAGCATTTATTCACCCAAGGAAGCTGCTTTTAACACTGAAGATTTAATTTTGTCTGGTTTCATTTATTCTTCGTGAGCTTGAAATATTTCTAGGTACTCCTGAATAATAATACTCTTCTTGGGGTTTATTCGATCTACCTCATCTTCATTTGGTTTCTAATTAAATATGTCCCAAAAGATTTATCACAATATGGGTTAGATGAGGTTTCACTATATAAACAAGATTGCTTTGGGTTTGATTTTTGATGAAATAATACTGCTTCCATCATTTCTTGAGAAGAAGAAGAAGTCATTTCTTGATTGAACTGGTATTAAAATATTGGTTTTTTATTTTGAAGTTTCATTGTGTAGTAGGATTATTAGTGTTATCCTATTCTTGAATTATAGGGTAAAACTCAATGCTAGACAGCCATGGATGAGCCAGCAGAATGTGAATCGCATTAGCCCACGATTTCTCTTAAAACCTAATTCTTTTTTTAAGTACAATATGTGGGGAGAGGTTTCGAACTCACAGCCTCTTGATTGGAGGTAGGTTTTAATTACCGTTGAGCTATGCTCGCTTTGGCCGACCTAATTCTTCGTGTCACATGATTATCATGAGCAAATATGTGGTTGTTAGTTTGAACGTGTTACATTATGCTTGTGGTCTTTAAAGACATTATTTAGTAGTCTTTATATAGCCATCCCCAATTGCTTACTCCGCTTTAATAACCAACATTAGTAACTTGAATCATCTCATAACTATTCTAAATTAATTTGGATTCACTAGAATAAACAGTGAAATTAACGATACATATACAACTTTTCTCTACATAAATGTAAGCAAACATTAAGAATCTTATCTATTACTATAGAAATATGGAATTCACAGGGTTATGCCGGTAAAATAGGCTCTTTTTGACCCAATATTTGCAGTGGGCTTATCTATTACATCCATACCAGGTATAAATTACATAAATGATAAGATTGCTTTATATCAATTGTGCTTTATATTATGTTCTACTCTAAATTACCATTCATATTTTAATAGATACCATTCGTGCCCCTTTATTATTTGGGGTTGGATAGAATGGATTGACGGCATGTTTTGGAACCCATTACTTTTGTTTTTTTTTTTTTTTATTCGGTGTGATATAATTATTTGTATTAATGCTATTAAAAATAAATAAATATGTTTAATTATTTATCTCTTGAAATTCTATTTGCATTAAAAAAGTTAGAACATGAAAGAAAAGTTCATCATTATTCAATAGTGTTTAATTATAAAATATTAAAATTTGTAGAATCTTAATAATTTTTTTGTAATATTTTTATTTTTTGCAACGATATTTCATTTTTTTACTTTTAATAATTAAATAAAATTTAAAATAGAAATAGAAATTGATAATTTTAATACTTACAAGATTAACAATGAAAAGAAGATGAAAGGTTTGAATATAAAACTTTTTCAATTTATTCCTAAATTAATTCTAAAATATTATAATTTTATCTTTAATTATAACTAATAATGGAATTTTAAAAGTTATTGTGTTTTAACAGTTAAATAATATTTAAAGAAATAAAAGTAATTTGAAACTAATCTGATGAATTCATAAAATTGAAATGTCAAAGTTGTGAAAATTTTGAATACAAGAAAGCTTTGTTAATTTATTTTTAAAAATGTTTGGAAAAAAACATATACTTTTAAAAAGTAATTTTAAAATTGATGAAGTTATCTTGTTATTATATATTAATGATGAATATTTATAAATTTTAATTTTTATATTTTTAATCTCTCTCAACTTCTACGACTATGTCAAGAGCTCTCTAACCTATTTTTCTATACGTGAACTTTTGCATTAACCTCTTAAATATAGTACAATTTGTGTCCGAAATGAGCTGAAAGGCCAGAATGAGTTGAAGTGTGAGAGCTGAAAGACCACTTGGTGAGGAAAGACATGCACAAGGGAGGGAACAAACACTCCGACGCTCAGTTTTGTATCCAACCTTAGTATGGAGGTCGAGCTAGAATACCATACCTGACTGAAGAGTGGGGTGCCCTATTTATAGGTTGAGGCGCACGACAAGGAATCCTACCAACGGTTAAGCATGTCGGGACCAAGGTCAACTTGTCGGGAGTAACTATTCTAGTTTATATGATTGTCATCTGAAATTTGGCTAAGTATGGAAGTCATTTCTCCCTTAAATGATGTTCAGGACCTTCAGGTCGACCTTCATGGAAGACCTGGAAGTCGGCTTTAAGGTAAGACTTGAATGAGGTCGCCCTTTAGGAAAGACCTTAATGAGGTTGGCCTTTAGGCGAAGGCCTTAATGAGGTCAGCCTTTAAGGAAGATTTTCAGGTCGGCCATCGGAGAAGGCCAAAGTGAGGTTGACCACTTCAGATCGGCGACCAAGGAAGACCTCAGATCGGCTACCACGGAAGACCTTCAAAGTTAGACATTTCTCTGTCCTCTATGTGGTAGTACGATTTTCACCCCAAACATAATTATTTTTTAATTTCTTAAATTTGAATTGCAAAGCAGTGTTGTCTAGCAATTATATAATATATAACAACAATTATTACTATTCACTTAGATTAAAAAAAATTAAATTACAACGTACAAGGCACATGCTAAGATATTAGTATTATATAAAAACCTGATAGTGATTCTTCCGTGGGATCATCTTTTAACATTGTTTTTAAGTAGTATGTTTTAAGTTGTTTAAATTCATAAGTTGTTGATTTTTAAAAAGATAATAGTTTAAATATATCAACATGAGTACAGTTCACCAAAACGAGCATAGTTCAACGATAATTGACATATATTTTTGACCAATAGGTCATGAGTTAAAAAAATGCATCAATATTACTCGGTTGGTAATTGACACCTATTTATTCCCTATAACAATTACTAGCATATTATTTTATTCATTCTAGCTAATAAGAAATATATTATTGTGTGAATTTTTTTTAAAATTAAAATAATAGTTTTATTGAAGTTTTATCCTGGAAATAATAAAACTACATCCAAACAGGCTTTCCTGAAACCAACTGGTATTCTGAAATTATTCGGCCTTGAAAGTAACTTGGGCCTTTGCAAGCCCATGGTTGGTTCGATTTGCGATTGCAATCAAGGGCCCGTAAAAGCCTCTCCGATAAGCTTTTATGTAGAACTGAGCAGGACCAGGAAAGTGGAGGAGACGACGAGACGAGCATGGCATCCGCTCTGCCACTAACGCGATCCATTCTCTTCACCAATGCTTCTAATCATCTGCGGAGTAATTGCCTCAGAAGCTTCACCTTCTCTGCATCCTTCTCCTCCTCCTCACCTCTGTCTTCCGATACCGTTTACCGTAAGAAATGGAGACAGCCGGTGTCTTCACTCCTTGAGCTCGGTGGCGTCGTAATTGCCAAAGATGGTAAACTATCTCACTTTCTTACCATTCTTTCCTATTCTATTACGACTGCCTACGCTGTTTACCTGTATTTCCAACCGGCTTCTGTATTCAGCGACCTGGACTTAGTCCTATTTCTGAGATTTTTCTGGTCCATTTCGTTCAATTTTCTGTGAGATGTAATATGTGTAGTTACTGTCTTAGACAATTGAAAATTTTCAGTTAGTTCGTGATTGTCTAATTATTATGCTGCTTCTTGCTCTGAACACTAGGGAAAACACCTCAACCAAAGTTTCTTTCTCTGATTCTTCCCTTAATCCACGTTGTATTTTAACATTGTGACTGAGAACTAGGGAATGCTGAGGGTCTCTGTTGGTTTGATCTTTGAAAACTATTTCTTAATTTAGAAAGCTGTCTGAAGAGAGATGATTTACTTTCTTGTATTCGTTCATTTTTCAAACTGATGTCAACTTAATAATATGGCATATAAAGATCATTATATACTCGAGAGAATTAAGTCAAAGCTATCGGTACAGCAGTGGTGCTTATTTCTAGTCCCTAAAGGAGAATAAATTTTAAAGTTCAATTTATAAACATGCCCTAAGTGTTTGGTTCTTCCTCTCTGAGTTATAATTAATCTCTTCTAGAATTCCAATTTTATGTTGGTGTCGAGGAGATTGAACTACTTCTAAAAATGTTTCTGCAGTTGTTATCTGTTGTTGCATTTCCCCCCTGATTTGAAGTTTTGTAATCCTTCGCTACATTTCATGCTTATTTTTTGTTAAGTCATCAAAACTATTCTTACCTATCTAATTTGATAGGTGCTTGTTGAACTTTGTTGTCAATCAGCCGTCTCTTTATGGAATTTATGCCATTTAAAGTTCAATTTTACCGTAATTGATTTACTAATATGATTGGACGCTTGCAGATATTGTGAGGGATGATCCTACGATCAATGTCCCAGATAATATTTTCAAAACTTGGCATGCAACTCCACAGAAGAGATAACCATCCACTTGGTATTCTGAAGAATGGGATATACAACTATTTTGATACAAATTACTCAAATAAGTTCGATAAGTTTGATGACCTCAGGCCAATTGTTTCCGTGATTCGTGAAGGAGGTAAGCTTCTCGAACTCATCAATTGTTATTAGAGTAACTTAACATTGATCTCTCTCTCTCTCCAAACACGTAGTGAATTTGAAATGAAAGTGTGCGTGTATGTGAGAGAGATATAACATCTGATAGGCAGTGATTAAGTATCGATATTATTTGAAATCTGAATTATACACACATTTTGCTTTTATAGCATTGCTGGAATGCTGACAACACTCATCCATCCTTTGTGTTCTTTAAGAGTTCCAAAACAAATCACCATAACTTGGCACTTCGGCCAAAAGGACAAGCCAAAAACTCATAGGTTAAATGTTCAGGTCTTGATTGCTACTTATTCAAGATATTAATAATATCCTTTGAATTTCCTGGCACAACATGTCATTAGATGAAGTGATAGTCTTATGGTATTATTTATTATTTATGTGTACGTGCAACCACATTGTATAAACATGTCAACCAAGAGAATGTGTTGTAACTGTGATGGAAAACATAGTAAAGATGTTCTTGGTTTACAACAGATTTTTCTTTCTTTTTTTTTTAGTCAACTTGCATTTGTTGTGAATTATAATTTTAACTGCATCCTGACTTTAGGCATAAATATTACTGTTGCTTCATTTCCAGTGATATAAGTCAAAGAAATAGTGGCGTCCAAGGCTCTAAATAAGCACATATAGAAAAGCATCTCCTAATCTAATCACCATGAAGTTGACTTACTATCATTGGCATTCTTTTATTCATTTGATTTACTAATAACTTTTCTTTGACATCTCCATTTGATATTAACGCCAATGATGGATCTTTTTGTCAATTTGGAGATATTAGTTTTGTTTGGTTTATGATCCAGATACAATTTTTTCTGTACAATCATAACATATAATAAAATATGAGTTTTTCTAGAATGGGCACTAGATCTGGAAGAGTAAGTCTCTCTCGGAAGAGGAAGGAAAGATAACTTTTCTCTAGAACTAGATCTAGAATTGGGCTCATAATTCAAACGAGGTCTTGTAGGAAAAAATTTTCTTTTATGCTTTACATGTTGTATTATTATTATTATT